CAATTCAACAGCATGGTCATCTTTAATACGAGAGTAAATTTCAATCAGTGTTAGTGTAATCAATATCAAAAATTCAGAATATATTTTTAATAACGTACAAACCCAATTCCATCCCAAATCCTGTTTTATTTCTAATTAGTTTTGCGGCAGTATTTATCGCTATTTCCATCTTATCGGGATCATCGGAAGATTTTAGATACGATAGTAAATCAATTATGTATCTGAAAATATGAAAAAAAAAAAATAAGAAACTATAGAAAAAATGAGGAATGACAGTAAAGTACTTTACATACACCGGGGATAGAATTTTCTTCTTTTTTATTTGTGGTTCACATTTATCGTCATCATCATTTTCGCTTTCTTCTTCCATCGGATACGGTTCGAATTCGTCATCATCATCAGAGTCCGCAGGTTGAGAATCGACATTTTCTGCAACGTTGAAAGGATCAATGTATGTTAAATTCTTTCTCTTTTTTTCCTTTTTTTTTTTTTTTTTTTTACCAGTTGTAGATATGCTGTCGATAGGAATTTCAGTATTAAAATGTTTCTCAGAGGAATCTACAATTTGATCAGATTTCGATACTATTTCTTCTTGATCTATTTGGATAGAATTGGATATTAAATATGGTTAAAAATATATGATCAAAAGAAAGTAATAATTTAAAATTACAAACCTTCAGCAACAACCTCATTTTCAATCTCTGGCAAATCCAAAAGCCCGTCCTTAACTTCTACTAATTGCCTTAAATATCTTACTTCCTCATCTTCAGCATTTAATTCAAAGTCTAATACGTTTCCAGTTTCATCAGTTAATCTTGAAAGCATTTCTGCAGTAATCTACATTAAGATATTAATATAAATTGCAATTTAATTAGATACCATATTATACGAGAATGTTACATTACCATTCCTAATTTTCGCGACTCTTCGAATGAATTTTGTAACCACCGAGACACACCAGAAACAATATCTCTGGTGATTCCTGCATCAATTAGAGTCTCTTTGGGAATGTAACCGAATAATATAAGAATTACACTTGTTATGTCTAACATAAGGTGCATAAATTATTAATATTTGGATAAAGTTCATTTAAGATTCATATTAAAATGTAACATACATTTTTGATCACTAATGGACCCATGTTTAACGAATGTTGGGTCAGACCAAGACGATATGAGATTTTTAAGTACATTAATAAGATCTATTTGAAAATGAAAATAAAAACTTGCATAAGGATTCAGATCGAACAATAGCTACATTATAAATGCTTTTACAAACCATTATATATTAGCGGGTTTAAGCTCTTATCATCACTTTTCTCTTTTTGAAGCCCTCTCCAACATAAAAAGCAGCATAAAACTCTTAAAATGATTACAGAAAATGATTTTTTACCCACAAAATATTTATATTTAATTAAAAACAATACAGATTCGTTATTTCTATTTCCAATTAATAACATTAATATTTTGGCAATTTTACGAATCAAATGTCGAGATCGATTCTCAATGGAAACTGGAGTGGGAACGTTTGAAAGATCACAATTTTGTGCATGAAGCAATAAAGAGGTAAGAAATGACTCTAGCATATGTGGAGAAAACGATGCGGTCACTCGATGCCAAATATCTTGATAGGTTTTATTAACAGAAGGATGAAGACGTTTCATAAGGTGAAGATAAATCGCCTGAACGAGAGTTTCTTTTAATTTGCCAGGAAAAACATTTTAAGTTGCCTTTAAAAAGTACGCGATACACAAAAACAAAAATATACAATAGTGTTAACGCACTTGAATGGCCGATCCTACAAATCTTTGAAAATAGTTCACCGAATGCGAACACCAACATTTCAATCGCATCCTCTATCAATTATTTACGTCAAAATGAATCAGTTGAAAAATTTCTCCTGATCACTATGATTTTGATATCACAAAATTACAAACATGCCTTTAATTTCCTCGCACTTATCAAATATTAAATTTTCACTATCAACCGAAAGTTTTCTAAAAAACTTTCTATCCAGAAAAAAAAATTTTTTTGCCGAGGAAGCACATTTATGATATTAAAGATAATTCAAGAATTCATTTAATTTTAGCAAAACTTGCAAATATCTAAGGATACACATCACTTAGAAAATCATCATCCTCTAGCAATCTTGAGTT